CAACAGTTCATCCAGGGTGAGTCTGGTGGGCTGGTTTTTGCCCACCCTGCTGGGCGTACCCATTATCGTGTACTGGAGCCGGAAACTAAAGAAAAAAAGAGCCCTTTAATTAATTCGCATGGAGATGATTTTACTTCGTACGCTTCACTTCCCAGGCGACTCAAGCACGAAGTCGACGTTGCTTACGGTCATAAGCGAACCGTATGCGCGGGAGACTGCCCGGCGGCCCCCCGATACGGTTCATGCAGATCTAAGAAAATTCGCTCCATCAAGATATGTTCTAACTAAAACTACAGGTGTAGTTACCTACGATAACCCTTACTTATCGTAGGTAATCATTTTTTCTGTAACTTGCCCGTCAATTCTAGATTAACGGGCAAGTTGCCTTGTAATCGTCGCACTAGTGGTGGTCCTGTCGTTACGGGTCAACTACCATAAAGCCAAGAAGAGAACCAGGCCCAAAAGCTGTATCCGTAAAACATCAATTATATCATGGACTTAAACCAAATCCAACAGGCAATTGCTAATTTACCAGAGGCCGAGTACAAACAACTCACCGAATGGATTACCGAACACGATTTCGCCAGATGGGATAAACAGATCGAACAGGATCTGGAGAGCGGCCGTTTAGATCCGCTCCTGAAAGAACTAAAGCAGGAGATTCGGGAGGGTAGAACGACCTTACTGTAACGGTGGGCAAGCCCTGCTGCAATCATTTTTTACTTCGGCCATCGCCCCACCTTACTTTATGGAAACAGGTGAATCCCTACCGGCTGTTTATAGCCAGATCACAACCGATGGTCAACGACTGCCGGGCCTGAATGAACAGCAACAAAAAGCACGGGAGTTCTATGAAAGTGGACTCTACGGAGCACCCAATTCGAAAAAAGCTTACCAATCCGATGTAAAGCAATACCTGGCCTGGTACCACCATAAAGGCTACGAAGCCCTGCCGTCTACGTCTCAGGCGCTGGCTGAATACATGACCGAACTTTCAACCGACAAAGGCTATTTTACGCTTCAGCGGAGGCTGGCCAGCATTGCCAAATACCACCGCATTCATAACCTGCCTTCGCCGACAACCCACGAGTCGTTTAAGCTATTTATGAAGGGGGTGAGGCGAGAAAAGACGATTCGGCAAAAACAGGCCATGGCCTTCACCCTGGATGAGTTTAGAAAAGCGGTCGACAGCCAACCCCTGACGCCTACTGGTATACGTAACCGGCTTATCTTGTTGTTGGGATTCACGGGTGCCTTCCGGCGTCAGGAGCTGGTCGATATTAATGTAGAAAATCTGGAGTGTCGTTCCGATGGTGTCTTAATTACAATCAATCATTCGAAGACGAATCAGGATGGGGTTGAAGAAGCCAAATTTGTAGCGAAGGCAAAACAGGAAGCGTATTGTCCGCTTCGTACCCTTCAACAGTGGCTGACGCTCATCAACCGGGCCGAAGGACCTTTATTTGTTCGCATCCGCAAGGGAGAACGGCCAACCCTGGACCGTTTATCCGATGATTATGTGAATCTGCTGACCAAGGCTGCCTTCGGTCAGTACTATTCCGCCCACTCTATGCGAGCCTCCTTTGTGACCATCTCCAAAGACGCGGGCGTCGATAACCGGAAGATTCAGAATCAAACCAAGCATAAAACAACCCAGATGATTGATCGATATGACCGTCGGCGGGATGTCATTTACCAGAACGCATCAACGGAACTCGATTTGTAATTTTTTACCAAGAAAACGACGAACGAACACTTATTCGCAAATACGTCCTATGCCGCCGGATTGATGGCCATCAATCAACACAGCATTCAGAAGTCATGCCTATACTCGATAATCAACGTTGAAGATAAAACTGGAAAAAGCGCCATCCCGACTACGAAGGCTAACCTCTTCCGGATTTGGTATGATGTTTCAGTACTTAACTTATACAAATAATTTCCTCACCCGTAACTGGCGTGGCCAGTGGCAAAAAGCAAAGGTTAGGGTTACCGAAACATAACATACCGCGCTCAGTACCGTTGCTCTGTCCGCTGTTATGACAGATAAAGCCTTTAGCATTTCTTGGTTGGCCATAGGTAAGCCCCACCCTAAAATCATTAGGATAATTAACGCACCGATAAGATCAATTACAGAATTTTTATCAGTCAAATCCAGATTACGAATCGCCCAACAGGATGGTAAAATTAGTGAAATGGATATCAGGCACATTACTGGTACAAAAAGCAAAAGGTAGCCAAGCGAGTACGCGGTTTCAGTCCCTGAAGCAAACAAATGAAGTGGCTCGATGACCGACCAACAAAAGGAAAATATTTTACTATAAAGAGCAGCAACCGCAACTGGCAGAGTAAGCAATACAATTCGTGCGATCGGCTGGGTCAGGTCTGTAAAAAACGGATACCTCTGTTCCAGATTAGTAGACAGACGATCAATCCTTTC